TGGCGAGCGGGAATTCGTCTTGACAATCCTGCGCTAACTGATGAAGCGTGCGGATTGCAAGATGTNTCCACGTATGTTTCGCGTAGGAGGATATTGCTGGCGAGCGGGAATTCGTCTTGACAATCCTGCGCTAACTGATGAAGCGTACGGATTGCAAGATAGGGAGCGCAATTGACGCCAAAGGTGACTGTTTTCAGCCTAAAATCTTCTATGGGCTTATTTGGAGACCTACGAAAGACGATTCTTTGGAAGTCTTGATCTTCCTCGTGGACAAGAATTTGGCGGTACATCTTTTCGATGCCGCCATTAAAAACAAACTTGTAGAGGCGACATCGGAGAATGCCGAGCATCAAGTCATTTTGAAGGGTTGGGCCAGTGTATAGTACGTCATTGAGGGAGTTTCCAGAGTGGGATATTCTGGAAGCATTGAAGACTACGCGTACTTTTGTTGTTTTGCTGTCGGGTTTTATGACAGCATGGTGCGGTAAATAAAAGGAGAAGTATTTACCGTCTTTGATGACTTCTTGGGATGAGGTGGGCTCCATATGGTCCATGGTGATGTATTCTTCCAGAACCTCTGAGTACTTTTTGCCAAGGTCGGGTTTTTTCTCCAGATTCCTTTCGATGCTGATGTACTGCTGCTGCGCTGCTAGTCGAGAGTGACCTAAAGCCATTGTGTCTGGAAATTCGGGTTTGACGGGTAATTTCACCGTATATCGTCCGTCTGCCTGCCGGGTTGTCGTGAGCCGATACAGGTCCTCACAGAACTCCTCCTCACTGGAACGGGGTTGAGTGACTGCTACTTCCTCCTGTTCCCAAAACTTCTTCAGCAGTGAGTTTAGAGATTCATCCTGGGGTTCGGTTACCTGGGTGGTAAAGGTGGAGATTCTCTCCTGGATTGGGCCGCTCAGAATCCATCCAAATATCGTATTCTGCGCTATGAGACTTCCGCTTATGTTTTGTTGCAGCCCTTGTAGGAGAATTCGGGGGATTAGGTCACTGCCGATTACCATATCTATCTTATTTGGGGTGAAACAGTTGGGATCGGCAAGCCTTAATCGTTTTATCTCTTCTAAGTTAATATGAGAGATATTTGAAGTAGGGAGAAAGTGGGTCAATTGGGGAAAAATAATGGCTTGGGGCTTTATTTCTTGGCTTCTATCTGTTGAGCTCAGTGTGATTTCGCACATTTTCTTTGAGTTTTGCACCACCATTCCACCCATGCCAGAAATCTCGAATAGAGCATCTGGCATAGGTAAGCGCAAGAGTTTTTGTATCCGGAAACGTTTTTTGTGAGCCTTGGTCCACCAGAGCGCGAATATTANAGTTTTTGTAACCGGGATGATACAAACGTTTTTTGTGAGCCTTGATCCACCAGAGCGCGAATATTATGATATTCGCCATCACAATATATAGGTACTATCGCCGTTGGGAGGAGGGTTGTGACGTTAGTACTCGAAAAATGAGACGACACTTTATTTACGTCGCTTTTCTCCGGTTGCTTATGTGTCGTATATTTTGAGCAAGTGGGCGCTTCAGTATCCGTATTAGTCTGAGTCGATAGCTGACTCGTTGTTCACTGGGGTTTTGCATTGGGTTTTGGTTGCTGGGTTTTTTGCGGGAAGTTCAAAAGAGAGTGATGTTTTCTTTGGCAGTATACACAAGTGAAGCTGCTT